CATAAGATGAATCCAGAACACGCAAAAAGTTTGCGTTTCCTGTACAATTTTTTCAGGGAAGTACTAGTTTTTGTCATTATCACCAAATGTATATATGAAATATACACAGCGGTTTGTTGTCAGAACCTCAGAGGAACTTCCCATTTGTCTCATCCGGCGTTGGCGCGAACCGCCCAAGGAGGAAAATGGCGGGAAAGCGAGCGGCACTTTGGCGCCAATCTGCGAAACGTGAAAAAGGACCCATCCCCTCGTTTTGCCTGCGTATCGCATCCAACTGCTCTCCTCTGCTCGGCCGGCGAAGCGAATCGTAGCGAAGCAGAAGGGCGGCGATGCAGATCCGCGTGCAGTGCGGGTGTGGCGAGTCGTCGTGCCCGGAGTGGGCCGTCGTGGAGCTGCAGGGCGTGGTGCAGCCGCAGGCCTCCTTCGCCGGCGACATCCGGGGACTCCACATCGGCCGCCTCTGCTCCGCCCCCTCCCCATCTTCATCTTCCAAGGCAAGAGATCTCGTTTCATTCGCTGGCCCTCTCTTGTCATCTGGTTTCTTGGCTGATCTGGAGCCTGGAGGTGCTCTCCATGTGGTAGCAGGCAGGGTACACCTTCACGGTGGGGTACCACGAGCTCGCCGGGACGAAGGTGACGCTCAAGAAGCCCCTGCTGGTGCTCCGGAAGAAGAAGACGAATGCTGATTGTGGGGAACATGAGCCACCGGAGGTGGAGTTGGAGGTGATCGGCATCATCCGGCACAAGATCCTCTTCAAGGACCGTCCCAAGGCCCTCATCTCAAGTAATCCACTAAATAATTCACTGCTTTTTTGTTGTCTCTAAGTCTCACTCCATCCTCCTGACCTGAGCAGTAATTCTGAATTTTGTTTATCAAATCACTGATTGCGTGATCATCTTCTCCAGAGCTGCCAACCAAGGAGAAGAAGACCGTGCAGCCAGCAGCAAAGTGACGCCACGCCAGCAACCCCATGCCCCTTGAGAATCTGAAGCTCCCTTGGCTTGGCTGTGTTCCCTGAATATTGCGACTGTTCTAGTCATGACTGATTTGGTTGATACGTTGTCCGTTGTACAAGTTTAAGGGTGTTTCCTCTAAGAAAAAAACAGTTTAAGGATGATCACTTGTACTGTCTGTTTCTTTCTTGGTGATTAAAGTCTGTGTGATTGCAATATTCCAGCATTGAATCGCAGCTGGTAGAGCATTTTGGTATTCGTCTCGAAGCAAATCAACAACAAACAGAACAAGAAAAGATCTAAGGAAACACTTAATGTGTTATCACATATTCTTAAATATAATCTGAAAATATGCCCTCTAGAATTGCCCATACCCACATATTCCTACTCACAGCAATGATCATTCCACCCTTTCAAGTGCAGAATAATAGCATGATGGTTTTCGAAAAAAGAATAATAGCATGATGGAAACTATAATAACTTCTATGGAGCTGTCCTACTTCCAACTAATACCAGCCTTTTGCAACTGGGGTAGGAGAACGCCTCCAAAATTTAACCCTGAAAATCTTGCATATTTCCTGTTCCAAATTCATAAGGCAAGTGTCATGATTTCTGCGTCTGTTGCTGAGGTCTGTGACCAAGCAATGAGTCTCGAGAAGGTCTGCTCTTAAAACTGGTTGCAGATCATCATGACATCTTTTTCAGAAATCTCTCTGATCTCCTTGAGCTTCAACTACAGGTTCTGATTTCCTGGAAAACAAGTATAATGAATAATGATCAAACATAATCAATGAAAAACTACAGGTTTTTACAAGCTCGCAAGCTGTACTCATGTTATCATAGAATGACAATGTCCAACCATTGCGTACGGCCCACCTCATAAATTCACAACCTTTACCTGCAAGTCTGCAACTCTAGGTGGCCTGAGATCATAGAAGTAATTCGGTTTGAACCAGAACAGAGGCCCAGCGACAGGTCTGATATAGTGGTTCGATCGGGTATTCCATCTCAAGCTTGAAGAATTCCTTGCCACTGATCCATTGGGATTCTCTTTGGTCCAAGAATTTAGGTTGCACGGATCCGTGTGGTCCAACCAATCCAAACGGTGTCTGTATGAGAGATGGAAAATGTGCAAAGAATTATCCTAAGCCATTTTGATCTGAAACATTATTTAATTTGATCTGGCTGGATATCTTTTTGTATAGACGTAGAAACAATGGGATTACTACTTGCAAAAACAATGTTAAGCTGAACAATCAATGGCCTGTGCCTCATAACCTAGCACTACTAAAAAAATTATCAAGCACATATCAATGCTAAAAACTTTCAAATATTTATTTAAGTATATGCATCAACAAAGGATTAGATTGTGTAAGAATGGGTTTGGTTAAGGGGAATCAGTCGGCTGTCTAACGGAATATCTACATGCAGATCGCAACGCGTCTGAAACTCTGAATACAGCGCGCTGCCCTATCTAGTAGAGTTCGATGCCACGTTGTGTGTGGATGGACACTTGTACTGTCTTTCCTTGTATGTGGCCACGCCTGTATCCTTATCATTGTGGTCGTGCAATGTCGCTGTCGCTACGGAATCATAACCAGGAAGAAGCCTTTTTCAAAGAAAAATTGGCAAACAAGGAAGGATAATGACCCTTCGATCGTATACAGTCATTCAATCAAGAAGCAACAGCAAGTTATTAACGGAAATGCTTCCTATAGGACATCCAGACGGCCAGACGTGGTCTTCCTAGGCCTACGCAGCGGACCAGCCCAACAGGCAACTGGCCTGCTCTTCTACTCCCCCATCTCTGCGACCGATAACTTTCCCAGTATGCTCGTCCCTGTGTTCACTGCCCCTCCGCATCTCGTTACGGCGTCCACTCGTGCCCGTGGTGGGCGGCGCAAAATCCAGGCCACCATAGATCCCCTACCATCTAAGCTTCCTGCACCATCCGCCCTCTGTGTCATCGTCGCTGCCACGCCCTACCTCATCCACTGAAGGGACTCGCCGCGGCCTTTCTCTAGCGTGCGCCCGACTCCGCCTCGCGGCCTTCTCTAGCACGCGGTCCGCCTTCTCAACCGGAGTGACTCACCGTGGCCTTTCTCCACCGGAGGGGCGAGCTCCGCACCGGCGTCGAGCTCCACGTCGACGAGCCTCCATTCATCCGAGCAACAAGTAGATGCTACGTTAAAAGCGCATGTTGCAGGAGTATGTTTCAAGTGTTTCAGATGTTTCATAAATATGTTGCAAGTGTTATCTATCGATGTTGCAAAAGTAGATCGGGATGTTGCACATGTTGTAATGGCTATACATGTATGTTTCAAGTGTATATCTCAAATGTTTCATCTTTTCCAGACGTATGTTGCAAGTGTGTTTGTCTTGATGTTGCAAAAGTAGCTCTAAATGTTGCATATACATGCATGTTGCAAGCATATGTTTTTCAAGTGTTTCAGGTATTTTCATACGAATGAATACAAGTGTTTCATTTGAATGTTTTTCAAGTGTTTTCAGCTATTTTCGCAAGTGTTTTAGAAGTTTGTTTCAAGTGCTTCATCTGTCTTCTTTTGTATGTTGCAACTGTTACATCTGGATGTTTAAAAATAGATCGGGTGTGTGCACAAGGGATGAGCGTGGGAAGCGGCTGGTGGCGCGGCGACGTTCAGGGCGGCATGGGCAACGTCTGGGGTGGCGCGGCGACGTCCGAGACGTCGCGGACCCGCTGCTGCGCGCGCTAGCTCACGAGCCCGACGTGCCAGGGCGCTCGCTCGCTCGCTGTACGGCACCGTCCGGACGCTAGCGTCCCGGATCCGATATCCGGGCGCTAGCAAGTTTGAATTATTAATTTTAGGTTCTTAATTTCACTGCCATGTGCCATTACGACGTTAAATTTTAGGGCTTGTCTGTCTCATGGATTTTTTTTAGAAACTCATGCCCATTTTTAACGGCAGCATCCTTCAGCCTGTTCGCTTGGTCATAAACGATCAAGAATTATAAGCCAGAACAGTATTTTTTTCTCACACCAAACCAGCCAGCAGTAATAATCCACGATCGTTTCAGTCGAAACGAACAGGCTACTTATTAGCTCTCGATCCAATGTTTAGAATTGTTTTCTTCCATACCGTTTTTGTTTTTTCTCATCTACAGAATCACCGTAACACGACTGCTTAACATCTCTGGCAACTTCCGACTCTTTATTTTTCATCCCTCTTCGACAAGGTCGCCTCCTACTTATAATGAACCTACCATGAAAGCTTGATTTGGCACGGAAATGAAATAGAGGGTGCTGGGTCTCACATTCTCACTAGAGTTAAGAGAAGTTAGCGAAGGGAGAAGAATCTTGGGTGTGGGAGTAGGATACTAGAATAGGATGTACTTCTCCCCCCAAAACATATCAGCATGAATCAACAAAAATATCAAAGAAAGAATAGTACAAATCCAAAAATGAAATGTCAACCCCTGCGGCTTCGCTCAATCAGCACCACCGAACAAAGATTTTTTTTTCCCCATGACAACAACCGATGTTGCCTTGCTATCATGAATCACGGAACGTGGTCGTCACATCATTAAAATTTGTGGTATCCAACGGAGACATGTAACCCAAAGGGGCCCGTCGATTCTGCCTCACCAACCTGAACTATATGGACCCACAGGTCCGCAGCTGAGCTCATTGCATGCAGGTCAACTGTGGTCAGAAATATACATTCTTAAAAAATGAACAGATCAACATTATGGAACAGCCTAATCCGGTAATGCCCCACCAGCCACCATGTATATTCTTAAAAGAATCTGAAAAGACCGTCCTGTATAATTGTTCATATTTACAGCCGCCTCCTATTCACAGCAATGATCTTTCCACCATTTCTAGGGTAGAATCATATCTGGAGCGCAACTACAGCTTCTATGGAGCTATCCTACGTTCAACGGATCCTGTCCTTTCGATTCCGTGTAGGAGAATGCCTCCTGCTCCAGCCTTGCTGATTTGGCATATTTTCTAGTCCCAAAATTTTAACACTGCTCTACAATCTTTGTGCATCCTATGGTACCAGTTAAGATTTCTTCCCCTTTTTCTTGTCCCTGGGTTCTGAAACCGAGTGATGGCTCTCCAGAAGATCTGAAAGCGTAATCTTTCCACAGTAACCTGTGTCCAGCCTCTGGAATTGATCACAGATCATCATGATATCTTTTTCAGAAATCTTCCCCATCTCCTTGAGCTTGTAAACAACAAATTCTGATTTCCTGAGAAGAATAAGCAATGATTACATGTTAGTCAATTCAGCAATTATTACAATTTTAAAAGGATGAAAGCTGCACTCTGCGCAGAAATAAATAAATCAGCATCCACAGAAGAGAGAACAAAAATCCATGCTATTACAGAATGACAGTCATTATTGTAATTTTTCTGATGATGAATATTGGGTGTAGCTAAAAAGTGTATCTGGTGTGGCTTCACATAACTGACAGCATTAGACAGTAGGTCAGTAACAGAACAGAGGGGTGGAGACCATAACAGAAAGAAACCTTTGCAGAAAATTTCATGAGCGCTTCAGGGGGGGAATCCTTTCGCACTTTGGACAAGTTAAAAGTACAGCATATAAATTCTGAAAATAAATGCAAGCATCAACCAGAAAATTTAGTAGACTGCCATATAGGCTGGCAAAGTCAATGAGCCGAGGTACCATTTGTATTGCCCTATGTATATGTTTTACAAATTAAAAAAAGGGCAAACCCAGTGCCGGAGGCTCCCACATGAGTGGGGTCTGGGGAAGAGAAAAACCGAGGCAAGCCTTCCCCCCCCAAAATCTGTAGAGAGGCTGCTTCGAACCCGCGACCGTGAGACAGCTCTCACCACTGCACCAGGCCTGCCCTTCATATGTTTTACAGATTACTTTACTATATATTGGGGTTAACATGCCATGCTGAATGAAAATTGAAATATCAGAGCATTCTGCATCATCCTAAAAAGAGCAAAGTTTCCATGTTTTCTTTATGGGCATGATATATGGTGTTTGAATACTGCTAACTGCTAAATGCAAGTGGTGATGTATGTTTGTTAATTAATCTACACAAACCAATCTGACACATTAGTCGCAAAAAAAAAAAAAAAGACACATTGAGCACACAGACCCAGCTAAGTTCAAAATGCAGCAAGTATGCCAGCAAATTGAAACAAAATCAACTATTAATCAGATTTAACATATATGAATATTACTAAATTGGTGATAGCATAAAATATGAGCCAAAAATAATGGGATATTTTATAATGAAAAGAAGCCATGAAATGGTTCTGAACAATTCAGGGACAATTGAATGAATTACACAACCACTACCAAAATAGTTAAGTTGAGTGTAAGAGCATAGAAAACACAAGAAAAACTCGAAGGATAAGCTATTCTAACATAAATTTACTAGAGCTAAGCAGAAATAATTTCATATTCAAGAAAAATTAAAATGGCTGATAATACTTCTTCTATGTGTTGGTAAAAAAAATAAAAATGTGTGTACAAACTACAAAGCCTATATATAAGTGCTTCACTTGTTTTACAATAGTCAATTTTTAGCCCAACGATCTCCCAGACAAAGACCAATGATATATCAATGATATATCCAATAATGTCATTGATGACTAGATGTCAGACCTAGTCCACTTTTATTAAGTGAAATGCTTGTACTAGTTAGTTATCACATCTTGAAAGTAGGGTAGCAGCCTAGCAGGTGAAGATTGCACCAAGTACAGTACTGTGCCCTTGATCTCATCCTGAACTGGCACCAATAAATGTTTTTTCAAGTGACTATAGATTCTGAACGGTGGGAATATCAATCATCTATATATTCCAAATATTCAAAGGTTCCTGAGTTCGAGTCGCGGTCTCCTCGCATTGCACAGGCGAGGGTAAGGCTTGCCACTGACACCCTTCCCCAGACCCCGCACAGAGCGGGAGCTCTCTGCACTGGGTACGCTCTTCCAAATTACCATAAATATTTTCAAAACAACTATCTAGGAATAATTAGTATATGTATATTTGTCAAACTGAATAAACACCTAAATGAGAGAAAACTGCACAACACAAGTCATTCATTAACTGATATTTACAGTAGCACTGTCATGCCACCAGTTTAAAAAAAATCCAGGATTGAGCAGACACTTAATAGCACAAAAATATGATACAAGAACATGATCTATGAGAGCATAAAAGGAAAGTTCGTGGGTTTTCCTAAAATGGCACAAAGGACATCCTCTCTTACATGGTCAATATCTACTACATAAGCATTAAGCAATTTATTCTAAATTTACCTGCCATGCTAAAGAGTTGACAAACTGTCAAGCCCCATTCCATCTGTTTTTTCTATGTTATATTTCGTGCCATAGTTAAAAAGGGCGTACCCAGTGCAGAGAGCTCCCGCTCTGTGCGGGGTCTGGGGAAGGGTGTCAGTGGCAAGCCTTACCCTCGCCTGTGCAATGCGAGGAGACCGCGACTCGAACCCGGGACCTTCCGGTCACAGGCGGTAAGACTCTACCGCTTGCACCAGGCCCGCCCTTCATTTTGTGCCATAGTTGCATTACATATTATTTTCAGTTGTGGACTATTATTTTACAGAGATTGCAAGACAAGAACAATTCATTCCACAAACACATCTACATGATAGGTTAGTTTAAGTGTTGCTTTTTCTGTCAACAAAATAGAGGTTTCTCTGTCAAAACACATAAAATATATACACTATTCTACATTCCTCCACTAGCTATTCAAATGAACTTTTTCAGGACTTGTATTTCAGTTTATTCTGGCAGTGTGATATTGCTAAAATATTTAACCAGCCTCCAAACACCACAAGATCATATGTCAACAAGCTGAGGTCTTGCTCCTATGATTTATACTTTTATGTTGAATTTTCAAGTGCCCAAACGTGACAAATAAGCCACAACATAAAAGGCCACTAACTTTTCCCAAGCTAAGGGCATGTACAACGGAGGTGCTTAGCCCGTTTTTTTTACACGATGTCATTTGCAACAGGTGCTTATAAAGAGGATGAGATGCTTAAGTTTTCTGCTAGTGCTCAAGGTGTACTAGCAAGGTAGTTAAGCTTCTTTAAGCACCCATTTGTATCGAAGGAATTAACTTTTATGCTGCTACTTAATGATGTAGTAACATTCTCTCTCTCTTTAGGTGGCCAAGTTTACACATCTTGTTATACATGCCCTAATAGGAGGTAGCATTTAATGTTTCGATGTGTACACCTCAGGCACATCATGGATTCATAGATACAAATCAAAAGAAGCAAGAGAGGTACAATATTTGAAACATGAATATTGCAAGCCAGCTAGCAAGGGAAAATCAGGAGAAGCCAAAGAATAAAGGACAGGTAGCATACTAGCAGCAAAAGGCATACATTGCTCATATTCCTTTGTGAAACTCCATTATGATTTAACCTTGTATAGCAATAACTTGGTTTAGGAAGCAAAGGCCCCTTGTATTGTTACCTCACACATTAGGATTTACGGAATCTCCATCGAATCTTATAGGTCAGTTGCAACCAAATAACTGAAGTAAATAACTCAATAATGAATCTTGAGACCAATAACAACAGAACAGACATCCTAGTGAACAACCAATGCAGTGATATTGGATTGCTGGCTAGTGCCTAGCTGGCTCAAGTGCATCTGCAACTTGAGAGTTTTAAATATTTACTTTACCCGATTTATAGGATGATAGTTCCATAATGTCTAAGAAGTGACCTTGAATTGTCTAACTAGATGCCTGCTATTTGTGGACCTATTACCAATAAGCCTCTCTGGAGGGCAATCAACTCGAAACCACCCATTTGCATGGTATATCGATGGACGATTGATGTTTCCTCAGCATAAAAATAAGAAATCATTTGGACATAATCTTGCTATAAGTAGTAAATGCAAGCAGAAAATCTGAACCAAGGCCTCATGGACTTACGTGACATATCCATTGTTGTCGATATCTGCAGCAAGAAATTCAGACACGGTCATGTCTCTGGACAGCACCCAGTTGGCCATGGCTCGGTGCCTCTTGTCAATCCTCATCTCTGCCAAGTAGAGGAATGCCCTCGCCACAGCCAGGGTGGACACGAGCAGCCACGCGGATGCAAAAAGCCGCCCAGCCAGTGTCTGGAACGCCTGGTCCCCATAACCGACTGTGGTCACCGACATGACCGCAAGATAGACGGCGTCGAGCCACCCCAGGCTCTCCACCTTCCTGAGAACTGCAGCCCCGACACCCACGCATACAGCCACTACACCCAGCGCGAGCGCAACCTTCATACGAATGCGCATCCTGCCCTTCTTGATGTCAAAGATGTAGTTGTGGCGGTGCTTGCGCGCAGAGGTTGGGTTCTTGAGCGCGGTGATGAGGAGGTGCTCCTGCAGGTCGAGCACATAGGAGACCATCCCGGAGAGGAGGATGTCAACGAAGCCGAAGCCGACGAGGACGAAGGAGATGGAGAAGAGCTTGGCGGCGGGGGTGGCGGGCGTGATGTCCCCGTACCCTATGGTGCAGAGCGTGACGATGCAGAAGTAGAGCGCGTCGGCGACGGGGTGCGTGGGCCCCGCGGAGGAGGTGAAGTTGGCGGGCGCGGCGGCGTAGAAGGCGACGCCGAGGGCGAGGTAGGCGAGCAGGAAGAGGAAGGCGGGCAGCACGATGGCGGGGCGCTTGGGCGGCGCGGGGGCCTGGTCCCCGGCCGCGGCGGCGGCCGCGAGCGCCACGGCACTGAGCGGCGCCATGGCCGGGGCGGTGCGGGAGCGGTGGAGGTTGGTGCGGGCGCCAGCGGCGTTGGCGATGAACTCGAAGAGGGAGGGCGCGCCGCCGCCGGCGGCGGCTGCGGAGGAAGGGTCCTCCGGGTCCGACGGCGGCGAGGGCGGGGACGAGGAGCAGGAGGGCAGGTCGAGGTCGTGGTCGTGGAGGCCGTCGATGGAGCTGCTGCGGCGGTGGTGGGCGCGGTGCGAGCGCGGCGGCGGCGGCGGAGGCGGAGGGGGCGGCTGCTGCTGCGGGTTCTGCGGCGGGTGGGCGCCGAAGATGATGCGGTCCTTGTAGGAGGCGGCCGGGGATGGGCAGGAGGGGGAGGGCGGGGAGGAGAAGTGCGACACCTCCGAGTGCTCCGGCAGCGGGTGGAGGAGGTGCGTCGGCAGCAGCGGCTCCGTGTCCATGCCGCACGCACGGGCTATCTCCTCGGATTCAGGTCCCGGGAAGCAGAGAGACGGGACGGCGGTTGGATTCCACCGATTCCTTGGGTTCGTGGGGACGCTGCGTGCGCGGTGGACGGGTTGAGGAGGAGGAAGGAGACGGCGGGTGCCGGTGCCGGTGCCGGTGCCGGCGCGGCGGGAGGAGATGTTGGAAGGCTGCGGCCGCTGATGTCTTCTTGCTGGGCGATTTGCAAAAATGGCCTTCTGGTAGTATACTCTCCTCCAACTTGACGATGGCGAATCCCTTTCTTTTCGCCCGTTTTCCTTGATTTTTATTATTTTGCTCTAAAAGAGGAAAATCATTAATTATTGGGAGGAGAGGAGATGAGATCAGACGAGCGCGCCCAAGGAAACCCTCTCCTCTGTAACGTTGCAGCAGACAAGAGGAGCCCAAGCAGTGTTTGTGTACTACGTGTATCCTCGTCTGGGTGACGCAAAACGTCACGAGCGCCGAACCTTTCATCTCGGAGTTGATTTGAGCGTGTGAGATTATCCTAAAGAGAAATTCATCAATTAAGAATTGTTATGTCTCTTGTCTCAGTCATGGAAAGGTTACGAGATTTATTTGAGCGTGACTGCCATAAAGAGAGATTCACAAATTCATTTTTAGGACGGTGATAATGGCCCGGTTCGCGAATAGCCATTGTCGAAAGTACTGTTCACTGATTTGTTGTGAGAAAAAAACACTGTTCGTTCGCTGAAATAGCATGACTCATAAGACAAGCGAACAGGGCCAATGCCGATTTCCCGCAAAGTTAGTTAACGTGTCCGGTGGTTTATAGGATAGTAACGTGCTATCTTTTTAAGGCCTTGTTTAGATGTTATTGGATTTATCTCAATCTACATGTATTGGTGTGAATTAAGGTGAAATTTAGTTTAAGTTCCACTCCAATTCATCTAAACACATGTGGATTGAGGTGAATTTGACTACATCCAAACAAGACCTAAACATATATTTGTATATGCTATTTTTGTAAGGTGCTTTTCACAAATCTCTTGTTATTCTTTGGTTTGAAATGTAGGATGTTTCCTTAAACAGTAATGCTAGCAAGCGGGCATCCGGCTGATCAGACGCTCACAGGCCTACCAACAAAGAAATATTAGGTGTTGCATTCTTATCTACTCCCAACTACATATTCCATTCGTCATCTCTCTCCTCTCTCTCTCCCTGCCTCTATCGCTGAAAGGTTCTTGTTTGGTTTTGGTAATTGAGTGACAATCTACGTGGACTAATATGTGTTTAAGTGCAATACACAGGTGATTAGTCCACAGGTATATGTGTGTGAGCAACTCATGCCATGACGGTGAAGATGGCTTGGATTTGTTGCAAGGCTCACTTATGTGATGAAGGAGCTCATTACATATGAGACACGACATTAAGTCATGTGACTAAGGTAGAGAAGATCAAGACAAGGTTTGGCTTGATGGATCGGTTGCAAGTGTGAATGGCAAGTCTAGTGAGGACTTGGCGCCGATGGACCAATGCAACAGAGAAGAGCAAGTGAGGTCAAGATCGAACCAACAAGGTCACGTGATGATATAAAGTGGATCATATCATTTGTGATCATATTGGTGCATGTGTTGCATCGACATTAGAGGAGATGGAATGGAATGCGCAAGGCAAAGGTATAAGCTGTAGGGCATTTTATTTCACCGGTCATAGGTGTGTAGAGAAGTTGATGGCCGGATTTAGGATAGATGGCTGTACTATCATGAGGGGCAAACTTATTTGCATATCAGTCATCTAGTGCCACTTGAGTGATCTAACTTTGCGCGTCCGGTCAGCACCTACAAGTCCGGTCACAAAGTTCGATCAATGTTTTTAACGTGTCCAGGAGCGACCGGACGCACGGAGAGTCCGATCAATGATGACCTGACGCGTCCGGTCATCAAAAGAGCTCTCTAGAAGTGATCGAACTCTGAGAGAGTCGAGTCTGGTCGTAGGAGAAAGGTGAGTCCGGTCAGTTGTGCAGAGATGCATCGGTAACCAGACTCTGTGACCTGCGCGTCCGGTCGTTATGACCTGCGAGTCCGGTCAGTGCGTGTTTTGTCCAATGAAGGGGCAATGGCTCTTTTAGCCCTTGAGGCTATAAATAGAAGTGGTGGCCGGCCTTGGGCAGTTTGCTAAGCACCCTCACGCCTATGTGCCTTGTGTAGGAGTGCTTGGATACCCTCTAACTCACTTGTGCTTGCAAGAGTGTGAATCGATTGCGAGTGAGTGTGATTCTAGTACGTTGTATTGTGAGATTGCATTGAGTGGCACTAGATGATCGAGTTACAAGCAGGTGCTGCTTGTTACTCTTGGAGGTTACCACCTCCTAGATGGCTTGGTGGCTTGTGACTCCATTGAAGTATGCGAGAAGATTGTGCGGTGCTCTGGAGGAGAATTTGTGAGGGGCATTGTGCTCACCCCGCGGGGATCGCGAAGAGCAACTCTAATTGAGCATGTCATTGAGCTACCCTCACTTTCAGGGTAGGTTCTTGCGGTGCCTGACGTGCGGGCTTGGCGGGGTGATGCTAATTAGCCGCCGAACCACCAAGTGAGCGGTCGACACAACGGGGACGTAGCTTGGTGGCAGTGAACCTTGAGAGAGAATCACCGTGTCAACATTGTGTTCATCATCTTCTCGGTGGTTTGCCTTCCACGAAACACAAGCTTGTATTACTTTCATATACATTATGCTTGTGTAGTTGCTCTTATGACTAGTTTAGCTTTAGTAGCTTGCTAGTTGCCCTTCTTACTTGTGTAGCATAAGAAGTAGCTCCCTTAAGTAGCTAATTTGATTTTAGTAACCTTGTTAGTCACATTGCTTAGTTTGTGTAGCTAAGTAATTTGCGTTCTCTAATTTGACTTGTGTAGCCTGTTATTGAGCATTGCTAGTAAGCTTAGGTGGCTTTATGCTTTTGCTTACTAGATTGTGTAGGAGCTCCTTCGATTGTGAGAAGTACTAGTTGTATAGGTTTGTGTGACCTTGCAAGCTAGATTGGTTTAGTGAGCTCTAGCTAGCCTGGCACCTTAGTTGCTTGTTTAGGATCTTTTTCAAGGTGCTTGATAACTTAGATAGAGGAGTGGAGTCTTGGTTAGACCGAAAGTTTTAATTCCGTACTTGTATCGGTTAGTCGGCGTGATTAAGTTTTAGAAATGACTATTCACCCCCCCTCTAGTCCACCATCTCGATCCTACAGTCGCCCCCTCCCACCGCGCATGCACTCCCCTGACCCCCCTCCTCTCTCTCTATCTCTCCCTATGCGGGTGGGACCCAGCATCCGGGAGCCAGGATAAGCGGCTGAGGATGATGATGGCGCGTAGAGCCACGCCGCAGGAGGCTGCGTCAGCGACGCCCGCCTCAAGTACTACATGTAGCGGGAGGCACCTGACCCCTGGCTCATCGAGCTCGATCATGGGGATTGGGGAGGTCCACCGCGCCGCCCGTCTACCCGGACTTGTCATGTGCCACGGGTGCCTCCATCAGTCTGCCACGGTTGCCTCCACTGCGCCAGTTCACCGCGCCACTGGCCCACACTCGTCCCGCCTGTCGCGGGCACTTCCACCGCACCAATTTGTCGCGCCGCCTTCCTAGATTTGCCCTAGCAGCAACGAGATGTTACGCTAGAAGCGTATGTTGCAAAGGTATGTTTCAAATATTTTATATTGGTGTTGCAAAAATAGATCAGGATGTTGCACATGTTGCAATTGCTATACACGTATGTTGCAGGTGTCTGTTCAACATGTTTCATCTATTTTAGATGCATGTTGCAAGTGTTTCATCTGAATGTTGCAACAACAGATTTAGATGTTGCATATACATGCATGTTGCAAGCGTATGTTTCAAGTATTTTAGGTGTTCCATACATATGTTGTAAGTTTTTTATCTAGATGTTGCATATATTTTACAATGGCTACACACATGTTTTCCTGATGTTTCATACGTATGTTGCAAGTGTTCGTTTGGATGTTGCAAACATAGATGTGGTGTCGCACATGTTGTAATGGGACCCAGCTGCTGCTGCCGCCTGCTGTAACTGCTGGGCCGCTATGGTCACCGTGCGGCTACCTAAGGGCGACAGATGCATCCATGGCGCGCATCCACAAGTGGGGTAGGTGACTGTGACTCACATGGGCGCAGGCAATCTGAAGTGGAGCGGGCGCGGGCAGGTCCCCAGTTACATTGAGGGCGGGAAAGGAGCGGCGTGGGGCGGGCCTTCAATACAAAATAAAATATCTACAACCAACATCTTTAATGTCAAACGACTTAAATCCATCTTAAAATATATCTTCAAATATGGTTGCTGCACATACGTATGCTCGATGATTCTTTTGTTTGTAATAACCATCTTTATTAGCCATATATGATTTTGTCTATTTCTAGTTTTGTCGTACTTTTGGTCCAAGAAAATTCACTAACTAACCTTAGACAAATCCGAATCGGGGCACTGCTCACCACACTAACAGAATTGTAACATTAGACTTTCCATGGTTTACATGCTTGAGCAGACATGCATGTGTCCAAATGCAGCACTAGGTAGCTTCAGAAGCACACGTATCTGTCACAAGTTTGTATCGAGCTCAGGTCATCATTATTTGGGAAAAGACTCTCTTTTCTTTGAAAAATAAGCGCACACCTCCCCTATAGTTGCCAAAACATATGTAGTTACCTTCACGTCCTAAAATAAATCAATTCAAGAGTTTTCGTAGTAATAAAATCAAAATGTCTTAAGTTTGAATGGATTTATAGAAAATAGCACCAATATTTATGACATGAAATATATTTTTATAGCATACTTATTTAGTGTTACAGATGTTGGTATTCGTCAGTCTTCTCTATAAATTGATCAAATCTAAAATAATTTAACTCACAACAACTCTAGAAGTTGGTTTATTTTAGGAAGAGGGAGTAGTCCGCTGGATTTGCATGTTCTTTTTTGGAAAACAATTTTTTTTCTGACAAATTAAACCCATACAT